CTAAAAACAGAAGGTTCTTTAGCGGCTGCTTCATGTGCAGCAAACTAAAATCAATGGTAATTATCAAGTGGTTACATTTATCTGTAGCAAAGAGTATCCATCGACATACATTCAGTTTGTTCTTGTGTCAAGAATCTTGTTAGCTTCAAACAAATGTTGTAGATGTTCAGCTGATGGTCTTTTCTTAGGCTCTTTTGACAGCATTCTCTTTATTTCACACTCCTGCAAAAAACATTTGAAAGAAATTGAGAAAAGGAAGGAGGAAGGGAGGGAGACAACTGTTTTTTAGTGCAAAGCTGTCGGCAGAACTGTGAAGATGTAGGGCTCGTTCACACCATGTGCAGTGAATTCTGTTTTTCCGCACTAGATCAACACCAGTCATTACAAGGGCACACAGAAAACAATTGTTTTCTATATGCCCCATTCACACCACAATGCTGGTGTGATGTGCGATGCATAAAAATGCAAACATGCTGCATTTCTGCACAACCCATTGGATGCGACCAGAGGTCACCGCAGCTCAAGACAACCACACTGCTGTGCGAAGACCTGAATGGAGTGTACAAATTGTTCACTGCCAATAAAGTACAAAAAATACAAAAACAATGTTCACACAAGAATTGTGTGTACAGCAGGAGTCAGTTTGAGTCTGTAAGGCTGGGTTCACACCTGGGCGTTCCTAATAGGCGCGTTTTGTGCACATTTTATGCGTGTTTTTAGCACTTTTTTTGTCCAATGAAAAGCGCATTCGACGCTCGTTTTTTATCCTCCCTGGCGGTATGATTTTTCCCCCCGTTTTTTCTCTATCTGTTTTTCATTTTTTTTTTTAAACTTCCCGCCGGTTCCGCCCCCCTGTGACGCAGACGCTCGCAAGGGATGGAACCCGGAAGACGGCAGCGGCCGGAGGACACAGCGGGGATCGCGGACAAGGTAAGACTTACGTTGTATTCCCGAGTGGGGCTCGGGGTTTACCGCTTTGTTAACACCGAGCCACACTCGGGAATACCAATGGATACATGCTGAAATCGGCCCCTACGCGTGAAAAAATAGCTCAAGTACTTTTCAGCACGTAGGGGCCCAGGTGGGAAACATGCCCATAGGGATTCATAGGATTTCACTTCTTGAGCGTTTCTCAGCGCTTCGATCAGCGCTGAAAAACGCCCAGGTGTGAACCCAGCCTTATAATATAAGGACTTTTTAGTGGTTATTGATTGTAACAGGCTTACCTGTCCCTCGGTTCCAGCGCGGCTCGCAGCGCAGTCGGAGATTCGTGACGTCAGCCGTGACGTCACGAGACTCCTCCCCCTCTCCCTAGTTAAACCCGGCGGTTACACTTGCCTGGCGTTCGAGCAAGTGTGAAGACGCCAGGCAAGTTCCCCGTCGGACTGCCACGAACCCCACAGCTATTTGGGCCGGTCAGAGCCCCACCATCACTGCCATTTCAGCCCTGCATACTCGGGCTTCCTGCACTCCTGGATAAAGTCTGCTTCCTCCTCAGCTCTCTGCACCCAGCACTAGGATCATATTACCAGAACCTGGACTGCCATTCCCCTAAAGTTCCACCGGAGGGCATCAACACCACTCCTGCAAACCTCTCCACAGAACTGCAAGTACTTTACTTAGGCCCCATTCACACTGAGCGATTTTTGCAGCGATATCGCTCATATTTCCACGCGATATCGCTCTATGTAGCTTCTCCAATCCATTTCAATGGAGCTGTTCACATCTCATCGCTCAATATCGCTCAATATCGCTTGTAACTCGTCGCTGTAGCTTGTCGCTCCTACATGACACTTTTTTCGAGCGATTTCGCTCCTGATTGCATACAGCCCAATAGGAAGAAGTCGCGCGACAAGACGCTCAATATCGCTCGTCGTGCAATATCGCTCAAAATCGCGCAATTTTCATATCGCTCAGTGTGAATGGGGCCTTATAGACTGTTACTTCACATATACCTCCATACTAACAGGACTGTGCATAGCTATTATTCTGATTCACTGTGGATAGCTATTATTCTCATCAACACCTCTGATTGTTGCTCAATTGTTGCCCCAACAAATCAAGCACTGTTTCCATCAATAAACCCTCAATCTAACTCAGGATTAATTGCTAGCTGATTTTGTTGTTACTCAAGACTGCATCCAAATTATAGCATAGTGCTACAACCCCTCACTGCTACCTCTGCAGCTGTGATCCACAACCAGATAAACCGGTGGGGCCTGAGCGTTATATTGATATACAAGTAGTAGTAGTTTTGTGGATACTAACTTCTACTTTTAAGGTGAATGTGTATATATTAGGGATGCACTGATAACGGCTTTTCGGTATTGAGTACGAGTACCAATATTTTTTTCCCGGTACTCGCCGATACCGAATACTGATAGCGGAAGTCCCATTAGGGAAGCAAGGCAACATGTAATGACTCGCCACCCGGCTTCCCGATTAGCAGGGAAGCTGTCCCCATGCTTCTCGTCACTAGGTGAGAGGAAAACTTAAGCTACCATGAACTATATGGTCCTTTTTCCTGCCAAAAACCCCTTATATGGTTAAACTTGTTAAAACTGGATTCTAACCGGACACAAGCATCCCAGTGGTGGGTAGAGCTACCACATACCTCACTTTCTCCTTTAGGTTCTGATTGACAGCAGGCAGTGGGCAGGTGTGTAATGGATGTGGTTAAGCATGATTATGACAAAATGCCTATCTCAATAGATCAATTGTAATATATATGTTATTCTGCTATTTGCTCGTTTACCTTACTCAAAACCTTACTCAGAAATTGGTGCTTAAGCACCCCGCTCACATCCGAAGTACGCACTAGAAATAGGAACCAAGATGGCGCCTCCTCTTCAGGACAACACCCAAGACGAAAGATATAAACATCCTGGCAGGAAGTTATGCATGAATGGATCTAACCAATTATAAGCTAGAATATATAAGCTAAAATGCTTTTTTGCAATGCTACGTTTAAACATACACCTTCTGCATGCCTATATAAAACTATGTTAAAGCGGAACAATAAAACAGTGTAAGTACCTTACACTGAACTTGTCTCAGCGTGAATTCTTCTCTCTGAGTGTACACTCTATTAAATCAGGCCAGGCGGCAGATATAAGTACGGAACCTTTAATCCGGTCCAGATTTGTGATCAGGTCCAAAACAGGTGCAATAGCCAGCCTTTTGGGTATTGCAATTTGGAATAGCCAATAGCCCACTGGCTGCTGTGTTTACATTTAGCTGCCAGCTGCGGAATCTTCCCGCCGGCAGCTGCCATTCCCCGGCTGAAGCTATTTCAAGTGCGATGTGTGCTTGAATAGCTTCTTTGAAGTGGAAAGGTGACACCGGGGGTCTTATAGACTCCTGATGTCACCTCCAATGTGCTATCACATAGGGGGCTTGTGAGACCCCCATGTGATAGCAATGAAGTTAATGAAAAAAAAAAAAAAGTTAAATAAAATAATTTAAAAAAAAAGTAAAGTCCCCCCGCCCCCATGAACATGCGCATACTAACGGAAACACAAGTCGGGTGCACCTATGTGTATTTTATTTTATGTGTATTGTATTTTATTTTAAATAAAAGATGGTATTTAATTTTTCTAAATAAAACAATAGAAAAAATAATTGGCCAAATAATCGATTATGAAAATAATTGTCAGTTTCAGCTCTTTGGTCGATTCCAGGACTTTCTGATCTTTTTAGAAGTCGAGGGGCTCCCTGAATTGGTAATGCTGTATTTATCTAGTTAGTTTAGTGCCGTTTAGAAATAGGTTTAGGTTAGCCTCAGGGATTAGGGGGCTCAGTCTTAGTTTTATGATTAAAGTAAGGGTTAGGTTTTATCAGATTTATAAAGGGTAAAGGCGGTAGGTTTAGATATCCGAAGGGTTAATTGTCAGGGGGTGCTTTAGAATATGGATACTTTGGGACATAGGGAGCTTCTAGGTTTCCATTTATTTTCAGCGCTGTGAGTTTTGTGCTGAGAATTCTCATTGCCAAGCTCTCAACAATCAGATCCAACATACTAAGACAGAGGAGAAAAATGGCAAGACTAGACAAGAAGGGAAGAGAGAGATTAAGGGACAGAGAGATAGGAAGAAATGCAAACTAAAAGCAAGTAAACATACACTGGAAACAACGCCTATCAAAGCATTTACACTGACATACCTCAACAGGGTAACGCTTTACAAAGTCCACAGGCAAGTGGCCTTCACGGATGTTCTCCCAATGCTGCAAGTGAACAAAACAAAGACACATTTAAATGCACATTTGTTGACATACATTTATTTTGGGACCCAGCTCTGTCACTATTTAAAAACATCAAGGGGGAAATTTATCAAAACTGGAGCAGACAAAATCTGGAGCCCATGGCAACCAACCAATCAGCTTCTCTCTTCAGTCTGTTCAGTTAAGATTTGAAAATGAAAGAGAGAAGATTATTGGTTGCCATGCACAGCTGCTCCAGTTTTGATAAATTCCCCTCCATGTGTTGATGTATGAACCACTTGTTCTTAGCCATGAAAATCTTGTCACCGAGCACTCCCTATGAGTGATCTAGACAGCATTATGGGGGGAATTTTGTGCTTGTAAATCGTTAACCCTTTGTTAGGACACTGTTCAAAGCTAGTTTACAACTGATAATGAGATGTACCAGCACAGTACACTTAGGGTAATTGTTGTAACCTTCCCAGTCCTCTTGCATTGCAGAGGAAAATTCAGTTTAAAGAAAACTAGAAATATGAGAAAACAAGTAATATGTAAGCGACAATTTTTTTTTTACGTTATGTAATGTGAATGAGAACTTGTAACAAATATAAAATAGGTATTATCCCAATTTGACTGCAAATGTGGAAATAAGCTGGAATGATGATTTATCAGAGCTATCTACAAATGGTTGAACGAGAAGCTGGTTTCTCTTTGCAGCAACCATTAGGAATGACAAAGAAGGAGCAAATGTTTCTAGTGGAAGTAGTGGCTGCGAGGTAGGCACACGCAAACAGCATGAACTACATGCGAAGAACGAAGGGAAATTTCCTTCTGATGTACTGGAGCCAGAAAGAGGGACATAGGTACAATGTCTTGGTTGAGGAGAAAGCTTAAAACTACCTTGGAAAGGAATGACGCTATAGGCTGCTTAGCCCACATGGCCTACACATTAATGAGTCTTCTGAAAAGGGCTCACACTGGAGGCTGTGCTGCAGCTCTGAACCTGGATAGCACTGTGCAGCTAACTAACACAGTACACAAAGGCAGTGGAGTTACAAGGTGGATGCAGCTGGCGTGGGGTTGCGGCCCCCTCCGGGTGACACCATCAGGAAGAGTGACACCAAAATGACTGACAGTCATTTTGGTGTCACTCCTTCTGAAAAATCAGTCACTCGGTCATTGACCGAGAGCCTGACAGCTGCACGAGAGAAGAGGGGACCCAGCGGCATACCTTATCTGGATGAACGTCCCCTCCTGCCGCACCAGGTGACACCAGGCTTGGTGATGCCCTTGCACAAGTCTGGGTACAGCCCTCAAAGATATTGCTCAGGAGATGCCAATCCAGATAATTGCAAAGAAATTACCTCAAGCAGCTTTAAGATGACATCTTCATTGAAGGAAAAAAAAAAAATCTTGAAAAAAGAAAAAATGGCTAGTAAAAATGGTTCAACTTTATCCTTCTAGGACACTAGCAAAAAACATCATGCTTGGAGTGGAAGGGGTTATACCAGGCTGGTCACTGGCTTTTTTTTTTTGCCGGTGTCCAAATTCTCCTGTAGATGGCAGTATAAACCAATTTCCTCTGAATCCTTTGTCTCTCAATGAATGAGAAAGAAAATATATTTTTTCTTTTGTTATATAGACAAAGAACCAGGTGGTTCGAAACTTGTAATTTGGTTGCATTTAATTCAGCTAAGTACAGAGTGTACATGTCCGTGTTTTGAAGTGATGTAATTTATTATGTCTGCTGAACCCTGCATACAGAAGAACACATTTGTTGTGTTTTGTGCACGATTTATGCACGGCCAATCATTTTCTGTCAGCAGTGACTTTGATTACTGGGTGCATATAGCTCTTTAGTCAGCTAAACACAGTATCTATATACCTGTTTTGGGAGCAGTGAAACTCATTGTTTTATGTGGTAATAATGACAGTATAAGCCGTTAGTGTACAGAAGTCATGTTCTTAGAAGAGAACCCACAGAACAGGAACAGGAAACGCATCACAGGAAACAAGTGCCACAGAGATGAATAGAGTTGCATGTAAACTAAACATAACACTCATAACATCTCCCTCTTAATAAATGATCATTGTGAAATGTGGATGAATCCTTGTAATAACATATTTACAGGTTAAGTCTTTTGGGTGGTTGTGAATGTCTACCACTGCGGGTGAAAACTGGCCCTCGTTGTATAAAGTGTTTCTTAGCCCTCTCCGAGGTTACTGGGCTCTTCTCACCACTTACTGGCATGCTCTGCTCTTCACTCCCGTCCGATATACCTGCTTGCTCCGGACTGTCATTAACATTAGTCTGTGGCATCATTACTGTACATTCCCTACTGTAACAATCGCCCCGGACCGGGTCTTCTTATTGCTATATGAACAGAACAGGAACAGGAAACGCATCACAGGAAACAAGTGCCACAGAGATGAATCATAGAGTTGCATATAAACTAAACATAACACTCATCATGCTGGCTGTTGTGAATATATGGGAACTGATTTGGTGTACCTTAAAGTGACATTAGAGAACAATATCCCCCCCCCCAATGTTAGTGTAAGGACTTACCTTAAATGATGCCTCTTAATCCGATCATCTTTTTCTTGTAGTTTTCAGCTGTTCCTCCAGCGCTGGTGCCGGGCTCCGATCATGCGCTGACTCCTCTGTGCTAGCTGGCACTTCCTGTCCCACGGAGTCTGTGCGGGTGCACGCTGCTTTATAGACTTAACTTGTGTCTCTCTCTTAGTCTCCCGGCCAAAGATCTGAACTGTGCTTGCGCCTGCCCCAAGATCCTTTGCGGCCGCCCAAGACTCTTCAGATGTTCGGATGGGAGAGCGCAGCAAAGACACAGGTAAGTTTTGACTCTGTTTGAAAAGTTTTTTTTCATGTTTTTATATATAGCTACTGCTCGCTAGCACTAGATATATGCAAAAAGCACTGAGGGTTTAATAACCCTTTAAGTTAATTTCTATTACAAGCCACTGAAGTTCATTTAGATCTCATTGTACAATACCCCCTTTTATATCCAAGCAGATGTATTTGTATCGCCATTAAATGTTCTTATAAAGATTTTCTAATAAAGATTTTGTTACTATGTTATAGACGTGCTGATCAATAATAGTTTTTAGTGCAAAGGCTTACTAGTTCAATATTTAGACCCTCACGGAAAACTGCAATGACAGTTGAGAATAAAGCAGAACTAGCAATATTTGAGAACAAGAATAATCATTTAAACTTACAATTCCTCTCTCAGATCCTGTTTCAAATATCCAAAGAAGTTCAACTAATATTAAACCTAATGCATAAATGTCCACTTCATTTTCATACTGGCTTCCATCTTTCTGTTGAATAAAGTAACATATATATTATATGGTTAGTGGCTGCCCAAATGTTAGAAAGGTACCATATACAAAGCAATTAGTGGTGATATTCTGTTATATCACTTGTTTTTATTACTGCTCATGTTTCTTACAAATCCTGCCACCCACCCTCCACCAGCACAAATATGTATGCATGAAGATAGAGCAGGTGTGTTTTCACAACCATGTTCCCTTGTGCTTATACTTCTTCGGTGCACTCTCCGAGAGTAGCAGTGGTGCTAAATCTCTTCAATTTGATAACTATCTGTCTGACTATAGAATCAGGTCTTCAGAAATAATTTTCTAAATCTTTCACAGCTTAAGAGCTTTAATAACTCTTCCATCTGAAATCTTCTGAAATCTAGATCAGGCCATAATAACAGAATTCTATTATGAGGAGCAGTTTGCGGGCTTGATGGCAGCACAGGTCAAGCTCACACCTACATTAAATAAACCACGTGGCACAATGATTGGAATATCTTATTTCAGAAACCCTCTTTGTCAGGTGTCATTATCCTAGAGGATCTTTTCTCCATCAGTAAACTTGGTTTACTTGGTTCAGTGATGGTTTGTTAAATAAGACTGTCTTTATTATTTATTTTTTTTACTTGGATATTATAACATACTTGTCACAAGCTGTTTATGTATAAATTCAGAAAAGTCACACGTCTACAGGTATTGTTACAAAAAAAAACAAAAAACATTATTCAAGTTTGAAAAAATAGTAAACTTTCACCTGTTCTGGGGCCATATAGGTAGGTGTGCCAGTGCCTTGAGTTCGCTGCCGTGCTTTGCTCTCGTCTTCCCTTGTCATTTGAGTCACCAGGCCGAAATCCCCTATTTTTACTACCATTGTTTTAGTAAAAAGAATATTTGCAGGCTACAAAAAAAAACATAGAAATAAAGTCTTAGAATTACAGAAACACCATCACAGGGGAAGGGGGGCAAGCTACTGATCTAGTTGTGAAGAACAACTTATGGTCACCTTTACAGCAAAGAGATTCATGTGCCCAACGTAAAATCAATTTTTTTTTCCAGTCCACTGAGGGACACAGAAAGTCTTAGGGCGTTGGGACTGCATTGGATGTTTTTTCCAGCGCAGCCCCAACGCAAGACACAGCATGTGGTGCCCATAGGACACATTTCACAAAAAGTTCTAGCAAAAATAAAAAGAAACAGTGCGATGCATCTCAATTGAGCACACCAGCACTGTGCCAGGCGCACACACACCACCATCTGGAATTTTTTGATACAAATGTAAGTAATTGCAGTTTTGAGGTCCAAAATGGTGTGGGCTTGGGTACAGTGTACAGGTTGAAGCAAGATGGAGATCATCCAGGCACTAGGAACACACAAAAAAAAAATCGAGAAATCGAGGCAGGGAACAAGGCCTAGATTATGACTTCTTGCACCCAAGCATAGGGAATGCAAGACCTGTAAGCATCCGCAAAGGCCAGTAGATGTCCCTCCACTCTGAAAATTGGGGGCGGATAGTTGTGCCAAGGAGGGCTTGTCAGTGGATTTCGTATACTTGGAATGCCAAACAAGCTTAAGGGGCCGAAAGTAATACTTCTTAGAAGGAATAGAGGACTTGTGAGACTGTTTCTTAGGCTTCTTTTGCTGGCTATGGTGGGTACTGTTACCACCAATAGCATCCTTGATGACAGCCACCTAATGTAGACCCAAATAAGATGTTGTTCCTCAAAGGCCATGCAAGCTTCTTGCTAAAGTTCCACAGTCCAGCACTTCAGCCATAGAGCCCTGCACAAGTGCACTGACAGAAGACCAATGCGAGACAGTAAGTGGGAGGCTTTTCAGCCAATGTCAGCATCGGATAAATCATGCTCAATGGGTTTAACTCAGTGAGCCATAGTATGGCATACGAGAAAGACTGCCAGAACTGGGGGTAGAAACAAGAGCTTCCAGTTTCTTGTTGGTGGGGTCCCTAAATGAAGGGACATCTTTAACCAAAATGGTAACAGGAATAGTCAGACTGTGTCTAGAATCAGGCATGTTGCAGCTGCAAGTACAGAACACAACATACATGGCTTTCGTGGCAGGAGCAACAGTGGGGACATGCCTCCTTAATGCAATCTGGTGAGAAAGAGGCCACAGAGTGTGCAAGCGCGAAAATCTACCCACAGAATTAACCCCTCCATGACAAGTCATTGTAAAAAAGGTAACCTTAAAAAAAGGGGCCCAGTGATTATATAAAATTTGGGAGCTCCCAATGCCCAATTGGCCCACTCATAGATGTCTTTACCGATAGAGAAAGCGCAAAGGCAGTGTTAACAGCTCTGGACCTGGAAAGTGCTCTACAGATAACTTAGCCAGAATCAGTCTGCAAAGCACTCAAGCAGTGCACAGTACCCAAGAGTCACTTCCAAGTTCACTCTGTGAGGTCTGATCTAACAGGGTCTGTCCGAGTATGACCAAACGTCATGACTAAGGACAACTGTGCCAGGTAGCTGCGAGAAAGTGAAGAGACCCCCCTGCAGTTATATGGAGAAAAATCTTGAATAAAGAGAAAAAATGTTGCTAGAACAAGAATAAGTTAAGTCCTAAAGTAACCTTTTTTTTTTAGTGTAAAGAGGAATTAGAACACCAACCAGGTTTTTATTGCTGTCTGTATCCCCGTTGGGGAAACTCCCCCCCACCCCCATTTTTCCTGGTTGCCATTATCAGCTAGAGAGTAAGTGAAAGAAAATCGTAAATTTTGAGTTGTCACCAGAACAGGGATAGAGGGGAAATCTTCCACTGGGGAAACTAGTTCTGGTGACCATGGTAAAAGGGATTTCTATCACTTTGGAGGGATTTCCGCCTAATTCCTGCTGCGGCTATGGGACAGAAAGTGAAGTGAAATCTCCTTATGGGAAAAATAAAAAGAGACGATAGTGGTTATAACCCTTCCTTACTCTAGCCGACCCTTAGGATACTAGCAAATAACTGAGGCATGGTGGAAATAGGAGGGGTTATCCTAGGGGTTTTCTACAGTTTGTTTGTCCAATCCTCCTGTAAGTGGCAGTATACCTCAAAGGTTTAAGACTTCCCTTGTTCCAGTATTTGCATTCAAAGTCACAGATTCAAATACTTAGGGGATGACACATCTTAGGGGATGATTCATGAAAATTTAAGAAAATAGCAGGAAACTGGAGTTGTTGCCCTCACTGACCAATCACAATTCTTGTTTAAAATATCCATAAATGAAAAGTGAACCTTGATATGCTACTGTCAGCAAAAGCCTAACTTTTCTTATTATTTCAGAGCTAAGAAAAGCAAGGGAGAGATGTTAGCATGAATCGATAATTACCCGAGGCTAATCACATCCCAGAAGGCCAATTGCATTGTAGATAACAGCCAGTCTGGGTAAGCACAAAATTAATCCCTTAAAGTATGTATGAATATCTTTGCAAGTGATAAAGAACATGTGCGTTATTTGTCAACCCCTTCACCAACAAAATATTAAGATGGCCATACAACCGGATGAATGAGAAAAGAGCATGGATTTGGGAATCCCCCTTGCCAGTCTATTGTATTTTGAGTGGTGACCTGAACAATGACTGCATCTCTTTGGTCAATATTTTTAAGACCAGCTACTTCAACAAAATCTGAATGAAAGATTACATTTTGTTGAGCAGATGGGTCCATGGTATGGCCAGCTTTAGACTGCACATTTCTTTATACTGTATAATGGACAGTGATATATAAACAATCTGGTGGTCACTGTCAGGTCAAGCTTCAGCTATACCACTGTCAACAGACTGTTTGAAAAAATTTCAGACCACTGACATATACTGTACATTAGTATGCATAAACCTAAAAACAGACGCACACACTCATAATTCTGGCAACATACTCACTTTCAGGTCTCTGTGAATAAGTTGTTGTGAATGCATATATTTTACGGCTTCAATTATCTGCTTAAAAATCTGCAGGCTTTGATTCTTGTCAACAGTACTTGAAACATAGTTTCTATTCTTGATCCACTTTTTTAAAGAACCATTTTCGCACAATTCCATTTGAATTAAAAGACACAATCCAGGTTTTTTCTCCTTCTGGTCACTGAAAAACAAAAAAAACATATAACAACTAACTATATACAAAGCACACCGTGTTAAAGAAAGATTTTTTGTAGAATAGGGTAGGTGAAACAGACATATAAATATTTTTACGTTTTGAATTAAGTGGGGATGTTTACACCTATCTAATGTTTATGTTGTTGTGTCCCTTCTGGGATAATTTCCCCGCACTACCTGTCCAGGTGACCACTGTCTCATGAACATGAGAAGGGAAATCTCCCCATATGGCATGCAAATGATAAAAGCCTGACAGTTTGCTTTTCTTTTGCACATTTGATAAAATATGTGCAATAATAATAGGTTTGCAAGGCTATGCAGTGTTCTCCATAGGTTCTTCATAGGTGTTGTGTTCCACATTTGCTACAGTAGTTAGTTATAAGGAATGTTCTCACAATAAAAGCGGAACGTTTCTGAAGCTGAAGCAATGGTGATCTGTTATTCATAGCAACCAAATTCCTACATATAGGGGTCTCTTATAAAGTGGACTTTAAAAAACAATTCCAACAAGCAACTAATGCTATCCAACAAATATTGCAAAAAAAACACTCAATGTGCCTAAATCTTAATTCTGTGTAAATCCATGAAACTAGCCCTACAGTAGTGTAGCCCAGAAAGTGTATAAAGCTAGCAGTCTGCTATGTAGCTTCCGCTCTTCCTGCTTCCTGTATTACAATCAAGTTTCCAAGGTAGGTCTGTATCTAACTAGAAACTCCTTAGTTCTTACATTCTAAAATATTGGGCCAAAATGTTTTTAAGCCATTTCATATATTGAATTACTCAATTACAACGGATGCTGCTTCTTGATGTTTACGGGGCAGATGCTCAATGTATCTATCTCAGGTTTTAATTTTCAATCCTGTGCACCTTTACTCATTTTTATTTAAGGACCAATGCCACCCAAAATGGATCGCAAGGTTCCATACTTGCTAGATCTTCACTTCTGTTAAACCACTAGGGAGGATCTACCCATTTTCTCAGCACAGCTGTACAGCTTTTCAGCAAAGCTACCACTGTCACTGACAGAAGCAATTTTTCCATATGGCCCTACTGAGAATCCAGTAGATGGCATTTGATATGCAATTCTATTTCATATACTCTGTAGTTGTTTCTTTATATATACATGCTTGGCTGATAACAATGCTAGCTTAGATTTAGGGTACAGTTCAGCCTGTCATGGTCATTTTGTTGTAGGAAAGAATTTCTCCAAAGGGGTTTTTCATAGCAGGAAAATCCTAGTAGGAGACTGAACTCTACCCTAAATCACCCAAAACCACAAAATCTGTTTTGGATGCAGCATTTCTCTAAGACTACAGAGACACATCACTGTTGGCTTTCCCAGAAATCCACCGACACTAATACTGTGTTACTTGTTACAAAAAGCAGGCAGAATTGGCCAGAAATTACATGTTGCCAAGTAGTCCATTTGAACATTTTCGACTCTGCAACAAACAGTGAGCAAGGGCATAACTAAAAGAATTGAGGCACCCTAGAGCACTTTTGGTGTATTCTGGGCACAATAGAAATTAATGTCTGTTGGAGCAGATACATGACCGTACTGCTCAGGAGGGTTAGAAATCAGGCATAGCAATAATGTTACAGTAAGGTTAGTTAGGTATATGTAAGTATAAAAAAAAGGATGGGTACCTTGAGCTATAACTGCTCTCACTACTGTCTGAGATGGAGACAGAACTTTCTGCCCACCAAGCATTGAAGTAGCGCACAATATTTGGATGTTCAAGGTTAGCTAAAGCCTTTACTTCTTCTACATGTCTTTTACTCCTTAAAAACAAAATATAAAACATGTTAAATAAAAGTAATACTAGAAACATAATCAAACATAACTAAAATTATGCTTTCTCCATAACCGATGCTTCAATAATAACTGGTTTCAAGTCTAACATGCGGGAATAAGTAATCTAATTATCTAATGGCTTCTTGAAGACTCAGTACCTGGCTCTGTGTTCCCATTCACCTCTAGGTGTTCCTACTTCTCCATATGCATTCTCCATAATATAAAAATCCGTAAGAGTGAGACACCTGGGAACTCAAGCACAGAGATGCATGGCCCTCTATGCGCTGCAGTGAAATTTATTCTGGATGACGCCCCAACACACAAGTACAGTGGGTGCTGACATGCTGTGCACTGCATTAAACATTAGCTTCAGTTCTTAGGTTAGATGAAATTTATAGCAATTTCCCCTTTTGCTAGCTTTGTGCCAAACTGAGTACTTTTTGGGCTTTTTCTGTTCTGCCATAAATGCTTTTTGCTGCCTGTCAGCAATTTCTATTTTCCTGTACACTGAGCCGTGCATGCACAGCTCAGTGCACAGGCTTTGCATGCTGAGTTGAAGCAACTCCTGTACGCATGCACAGGAGCTAAGTTATAGAGGCTCAGCCAGTCAAACAAAGAATCGGAACCCGGAAGAAGACCAGGACGAACATGGAAGCACCAGTGAAGGGGATCGGTTTGGCAGGTAGGTCTGCCATAAAGTGCTAATTTGCTGTGCTAGCACATTATAGCTTAAAGCTCCTGGGGGATTTTTTAACTACTTGCTTTACTTCCAATTTAAGGGTTCAGGTGACACAATGTCTCCTGTAAGCATTTTTATAAAAAGCAATCAGCAGTTACAACAAGTAGGTGTTCTTGCCAAAGTTAAACTCTATATCACAAAGCCCTTATAGATATCAACCTCAGGGCAGAACAATAATGCAGGGCTTACATATAGGTGAATGAGGGAAGCTTATAACTATGTGGATCTTTAGAGGTGATTGCCCTGTCCTAGTGGATGCGATGTGCAGAACCGCGCTAGACCTTGTGATGCAGGAGGAGCTCTATATATCCCCTCTGACTTCAAGATGGCTGCCGAAATCTCGAGAGAACTCTTTCTCAAATTAGACTCAAGCTCTCCCAAGAGTGACATCTAGGGGTTGATTTACTAACCTTTTAAACACACCACGAACGTGTATACACCTCTGTAGTGTGTTCCCTCCCAGCATGATCTATGGGAGGAATCGAAACACCTTTGTAGTGTGTACACACCCAGCAGGTGTGTTGTGGAAAGCCCTGCAATGAATTGCAAGGTAATGTGGTGTAAATTAGCTCTATGTTATGTTGCTTGCGTTGATGAATGCAGGAATGTAAATGCATGAGCTAACCATTTTTGTCTAAACTGTGAAGCAGCATTATATATGCATCATGTGCATGATTTTTCCATATATGGCATTAGTGGAAATATGCTTTTAGAGACTTTTTGGTTGATAAATACGTTTTGCTGTGTGAAAATCACACACACCTGGTGTGTGTGTGTGTTTAGGTTAGTAAATCACCCCCCTAGAGTCCATGGCAGAGGACACATTAGTTCTTTGCCAGGCTCTCCCTAGAGACAGTAGTAAACATTGATTATGTGATTGCCTTGTTTACTTCTGCCAGCTAATCAGGAAGTAACTGAGTGATCACTGGATCGCCACATCACTTCCTACTCTGCTGCCCAATGGAGTAAAAGCATGGCTCCTGGGGCACTGTGTTAACTGCACACCTGCCTATATAATGGCTTTCTGCAATTGCTAGGAACCTCTCCCTGGCTTTACTTAAGTAATCTAAGTTACTGACAAACAGGCAGAAAAAGTAAATAGACAAAAGTCAGAATTCTTTGTCTATACTGGGTCAGCGACTCAAAAAGAATTAAAGCCGTTCCTTTCTATGAAGTGCAACATCGTATGAATACGATGATGATCAATGAAAAAATGACAAGTGTGCTCCACGATTCACATGCCAAATTTCTTAAGATTTGGGACCCTTGGCTCTTCTATGCCCTTCCAACACTGAACTCATCCAAACTGCACTGTCTTTGACTCGACCTACCTCTGGGTTTTTGTGCTGGACGCAGGGGATGAGGGGACCCTGTCCATTTCTACTATACGCTATTTTCCTACACTCTGCTCTATGCTACTTTATTTTACTCTATTCTTTTACGCTCTCCTCTGCACAACTTTTCTCCCTTCGCCCTTTTCTCCTTCTTTCCGCTCTCTTTCTTCCCCTTTCAACCTTGCTTGCTTCCCTTCTTGTCTCTTTTTTTCCGTTGACGCGACTTCGGGAAACGCTTCCTCCCTAATCTATCTCCCAGCTCCTGTTCCACCTTCTCTTATAGGTTGTATATTCTTGACCCGATGCAAAGGCCTCAAGAGACCATTTACCAATCGCACATTAGCATGCTGATGTGATTCTTGTTTGAACAAGGTTTATTGTCCCGATCATTGACCTTTCCATATAAAAGGATCATTGTACATTGAGTCATATCTGTGCTGTTATGCCCCTGTGCGAGTGACTTTGCTGTTCGTCCTTGTTTGAATAAAAATTCAATAAAAATTATTGCGTAAATTATTGAAGCCAAAGCATCAGCATTACAGCCAGGTAACTAGGCTTTTGAAAAGTAGAGGTCAGCAGTGGCAGTCCTCATATTTTTCTCATACCAAATTTTTAAAAAAAGGACAAAGTTAAATTCCAGTATATACACAGTACTTACTTGTGTCCCACAGGTATTTGTTTGACAGCGTAGTACCTATCATCCACTTTTTTCTTTGCTTTGAAAACTTTGCCAAATGATCCTGAATCAAGTTTAGAGACGTTCACAAAATCTTTAAATGGACTGGAAAAACAAAAACAATTTACTCTCATTATTGAATGTTTGCTAAGCACTTACATAATATAATTTTTTTTGTACAATTACCAACAACTATACAGTATAATTTGCTACAAAAATTAAAAAAGAACTATTTCCCCCTAAACATATACAGTACATACACATATGTGAGCTACACCCTTATTGGGAGACAGATGTTCACCAAAATCTATGAAAGCACTTAGAAGAAATAAAGTTCAACATTATACAAGTTGCAATAATATACATACAATTATTCATTAATTTAGAAAGTAAATGAGAAATACCTTTCTTATTGGACTAACAAAATACCGTATTTTTTGCT